CGCTTGCTCCGCTTGCGGTCCGGGTGCCCACGACGCGCAGGACACCGTCACTACGGTTGCAACGACGGTACGGCCAAGTAGGATGGCTAAATGTGGTAGAATGTCATGTAGGTTCACAGGATGTATCCTCGGACGAACGAAATGCCGGTGAAGTGCTGATTTTGACTGCCGATCGTTCATGCGTGTCGTTCACCGTGACAGTCGCCTTGTAATAATTAGTTTTTATATATGCAACACTCGCATGACCTGCGTACGTCCGATTGCCAAGTGTATGCTGCGAACCGACGTGTGAGTGCTCAGCAGGAGTGTGTTGTGTTTGGATTATTGCGATCTTTTAAGTCATCCATGGAAATCCGAGACTATGTGCGGATGAACTATTGAATAGACTTGACCGGTAATGGTGTGCAGGTCCTGCGCGATAAACTACGCCGCTAGGACCATCCTGTAGGTGATCTGCAGGGTATCCGAGATCCGGTGCGCCCATTTGGACCCATGGCTGTCTGTTTGTTATTATGGGAGTTTGAATGTTCTCCCTCTTTCTTCCGACCGTCTGCGTGGTTTGCTTGCAAAGAATGGTGATGCAATTCAGGCAGCTTCAACCTAGCACCTCCAGTGCTACCACACGCAGGTGTTGGTGATGGTGGGGTGTTCTGCCGTAAAATCCATCCCCTCCTCTGGTCGTTTCCATTCCGTTGCCTTGCACTAATTCTTTTCCCATTTACTTTCCAGGCACAACTGTGGAACACATTTTTAATGGTTCTGTTATTTGCTGGCAATCAATCATAATAAAATTATGTTTTCCTGAACTTTGTTTCATATTTACCGACAACGCAAGCGTCACGGCAACCAAGGCATCCAGGCCTTGAGTTGAAGCCCAGCTTGTGTAGGTGAGAAAAGGGGGCGTGATTTTCCGGTTTCGTCTATAGCCTCAGAGTGGTCCCGAAACCTTCTAGGACAACATAGGGTCGCCCCTAACAGCATTATGTACAATAGCCTGACAGCCTAACTGTACCTGAAACACTTATTGCGCTTCAGGGATGTTTCACGTCAATCCGAAGATTCTATGGCAGGGTCGCACCGTCTGTTGTTACATAGTGTGTAGAGTCGCTAACGAAAACGGAACGAATGATTTCCAGCCACAACTGAGTTTCGGGGTTCAAAACCTACAGTTGTGACAAGTTGATGTTGCTTTAGGTATAGCTGATATGTGTCGTGAACAGTCAAATCAAAAGGTGGCAATAGTAGTATTCCAAGCTTAGCGTTCATTGCTCACTAAATACGTCAACAGCTGCTTACATTATTCTGTGTACTCAGATGATTGGTAAGCCTCTCTTCATGCCACAACGATACTTTACGTTAAGGGGTGAATGACCAGAAATAGAAAATAGGTGACCACCCAGTAAACACGCCGCCGGTGGGCATCGGTGCCCAAAGGTGGCATGTTACGCTTGCCACCGGTGGCGCCAGAGCTGCAGCTCTGGCCTAACCACAGACGCTATTGAGAGGGACATATACTATTACACGTAGGCTATTCCTTTAATTCAAACGAATAACGATTTCATAATATGTGAACGATGCTGATTGCAAACAGCCAATACACCGGGGTCAGCTGCTAAATTTGGGCTGTTCTGACTAATTACTTTTTGTTACCGCCAGTAATCCCAAATATCATCTTCCTTTGGAGATATAGTTAACTTTAGGAACAAGATATAGGATTACACTCTTTACAACCAAGCTATCTAAAACTACCGGGAATCGCACACTCTTTGTGTTTATTATATTTGAAAATCGTTTAACGATGTAATTTTTTAAGATACAACCGCAAGTCGCGTGATCGCCGCCCAATCACTATCCATTCGCTTCCGGCTACGCACCCCTGGTGATCCAGAGGCCGTTG